AATCCCCTTGGTGGGCCACAATTACCCTATTTACACAGTCCCACCCAATCACTTGGGTGTGAGTTACAAGACCATGACAAGAAAGGCCACACAAAAGCGATCCATTGCACTGCAGTTATCCTTAGGAAAAAACCAAAAAAACCAAACCCATTGCCATCGAGTTGATTCCAACTCATAGCGACCCTATAGGACAGAGTAGAACTTCCCTATAGGGTTTCCAAGGAGCGCCTGGTGGATTTGAACTGCCGATCTTTTGGTTAGCAGCCGTAGCTCTTAACCACTATGCCACCAGGGTTTCCATCCATAGGAAAAAGTAAGTAAAATTAGGTGTCTACTTCATACTATACACAAATCAATCAGTGCTTTACATATTTGATTCCAAAAGTCAGCAAACATCTTTTGTACAGGGCCAGATAATATTTTAGAATTTATAGGCCACATACAGTCTTTGCTATATATAAATCTGTTGCTGCCCAGTGGATTCCTACTCATTCATGGTGGCCCCATGTATTTCAGAGTAGAACTTTGCTCCATGGGGTTTTCAAGGCTGTGACCTTTTTTGGAAGCATACTACTAGGCTTTTCTTCCAAGGTGCTTCCAGATGGTTTTGCTTTACCAACCTTTCTATTAGTAGTTGAGTGCTTAACTGTTTACACAACCCAGGGACTCTCTGCATATATATATATGTGTGTGTACACACACACACACACACACACACATATAGTGCTATCAGGGCTCCATATATCAGCCCTGGTGGAACAACTTTTAAGTGCTCATCTGCAAACCAAAAGATTGGTGGTTCAAACCCATCCGGTGACTCTGCAGAAAAAAGTCCTGGCGATCTGCTCCCATAAACATTACAGTTAAGAAAACCCTATGGGGCAGTTCTACCATGTTACATAGGGTGGTTATGAGTTAGAATCGATGGCACCCAATAACAACAACATATACTGCATATAATATATACATTTATATGTATATACACATTTATATTATATATACACGTACATATATATAGTATACGTGTATATATACGTGTGTATATATATATATATGTACATACATACCTGTGTGTGTGTGATTATTAATCCTTTAAAAAGATATAAAAACCAGTCTTAGCTCAAGGGCAAAGCCAAAGCAGGCTGTGGCCTGAATTTGATGCACAGGCCTCAGTTTGCTAACCCCTGAAACCTAAATGTGAAGTGTAACACTCTAAAAGTTTTAGAGGAAAATACAAGAGAATGTCTTTATGACCTTAATGTGGGGAAAGACTTCATTAAAAAGACATAAAAATTACAAACTATAATGGGAAAGATTGTTAAATTTCAGCTACATTCAAATGAAACAATTCTGTACAAAGGACAACAGAAACAAAGTGAGAACGTAAGCTGCAGACTCAGAGAATGTATTTACAATGCTCAACTGAAAAAGGATTAGTATCTAGACTATAAATTAAAAAAAACAAAACCCACCAAACACATTACCATTGTGTCCATTCCAACTCATGGTGACCCCATGTGTTTCAGAGTAGAACTGCTCCATAGGGTTTTCTTGGCTGTAATCTTTATGGAAGGAGATCGCCAGGCCCTTCTTTCTGGAGAGCAGCTCAAATCTCCAACCTTTTGGTTAGTGTTAAAATGGCATGGCAGGGGCGTCTGACCTCCTCTAACTTCACGAAGGGGAAGGAGAAGAAGTATTATCAGCATCAATAGCCCGAAGCTGATTCCTGTGAGGCATTCCTATCAGATGTACCTCCTCTTTCCAACCTTTTTACCAGTTCTGACACTATTGTTCCCTCCCATGGCACTGTCTACTCCTCTGCTGAGTTCAATAGTTCGTCGCAATGGCCATACAGAACTCACAGACCATACTCACAGTTATGGGGTTTATTAAGGAAGTAACAGGGCACAATTTGGGATTAGGATACAGATCTTCGATCAGGACAGCTTCTTTTCAGCTGTGCCTGAAGTCAGGCCTCTTTCTGGCCCTTGGCCTCTGCCTTGCTTGGGCAAGTGTTACAAAGCTCCTAGCTCCAGGGGTCGGCAATCCCCAGCGCAGCAGTCTCATGCCACTGTGGCTCTTGCTACTGCTGTGCCGCCGTCTCTTGCTGTCTTCTGTGTTACAGCTCCCCGGTCTCTCTCTCCATGCCTCCCTTTAAGCCTAGCAGGATGGCAAAACTGACCAGTCCCCTCGTTAGGGTTCCATACCCTTATTTGCATGGTCCCATCCCCATACGAGTGCCATGAACCTTATTACGTTATTGGCAAGCTTATCCAGTCCCCTTGGTGGGCCGCAAGCACCTCATTTGCACAGTCCTACCCAATCATCTGTGGGAGTTACAAGACCGTGGCGAGAAAGGCCATATAAAAGTGATCTATCGCACTGCAGTTAGTAATCCAGTGCAAACCGTTTGCACCACCCAGGGACCTAAACTATAGATAACTTCTCCAAATCAATAAAATGACAACAAGGTAAAATAAAATGGGCAAAGATTCACAACAGAAGAGACTCTGAATAGCCAATAAACATGAAAAGATACTGAACTTTATTAATAATTGGAAGCAGGCAGATTTTTGGACTGCTCAGTTCTCAGATCTTATTCATTTCATTTATCTTTTCATAAAATTTACAGCAATTCATATTGGATGGGATCATTTTAACAGGTTTTTCTTAAATATATATTTTTTATTGTTATAGTTTAAGTGAAAGTTTACAATTCAAGTTAGTCTCTCATACAAAAATTTATACATACATTGTTACGTGACCCTCATTGCTCCCCCCATACTGTAACAGCACACTCCTCCTTTACACTCCTGATTTCCCATGTCCATTCAGCCAGCTCCTGACCCTCTCTGCCTTCCCATCTCACCTCCAGACAGAAGCTGCCCATTTAGTCTCATGTATCTACTTGAGCTAAGAAGCACGCTCTTCACGAGTATCGTTTTATTAACAGGTTTTTAACATTTCTGTAAAGTTATGGCAATTTATGTGAGTCATAATTCACTTGACAGCAACTAACAACAACAGTATTTAAGGAACGTTTGGTTGGTTTCTGCCATATCTGACTGCTGCTACAGGGAGTTTGGGCTAAGGGACAGTGTGGTGCAATGAATTACTTAATACGGACCTTCTAGCCATGGTCTTTGGATTGAGTAGGGCTATACAAATAAGGTATATGGAACCTGTGATGGTTGGGGTTACATGTCAACTTGGCTAGGCCATGATTCCCAGTGTTGTATGGTTGTCTTCCATTTTATGTATTGTAAATCCTAACCTCTACATGTTAATGAGGCAGGATTGGTGAGGAGTGTGTCTTGGGTTGCAGACTTGCAGGAGGGTGTGACTCAAGTCCCACCCTTACTCAAGTTACACCTTTCCCTGGGGTGTGGCCAGCATCCAAGGTATATATGTGGGTGCCCTAGGGGGGGCTCTGTCTCTGCATCTGGATCCCGCTTCTGGTTGGTGATTGTCTAACCTCCAGTTCTTGGGACTTGAGCCAGAGGCTTGCCATCTGACTTGCCAGTTTTGCGATTTGCCAGACTCCGCAGCCTTGTGGGCCGGTGGTCTATTGTCTGACCTGATTCACCAGCTTCCAGAGCCTTGTGAGCCAGCAGCCTGTGGTCTGACCTGCCAGTTTGGGTTTGTCAGCCCCCACAGCCCTGTGGGTCAGGAGAAGCCTATGTCTGACCCACAGATTTTGGACTTGCTTGCCTCCACAACCTAGTGAGTCATTTCCTTGGTATGGTTCATGAGTTCTGTGAGACCTTGCAGAGAATTAGGGAGCCCAAAGATGGGAGGGAGAGTACTGAGGTGAGGGGGAGTAGTTGATGTTAGAGATGATGGAGTGGTACAGCAGTTTGGAAAAGTTGGACATTTGGGACATCTTTAACCTCCACCTCATGGGAACCAGCTTTGTGCTGGTCCTTACAAAAGAAATTATTCATTTAGACAGAGAAGGTAAGACTGGGTAGCGGAGACAGGGGCAGACATAAGAAACTGACAAAACAGAACATAGATGCTCTAGTACGCCAGAGCCCTCTTCCAATAATCTCGGTTGCAAGCAGAGGCACTACAGCTTTGATGGCATTATCCCAGAAAAAAAATGGGTGTATGTGATCTCCTCAAAATCCATTTGCACTGCATTCAGTTATTTCATAGGCTATAATTTCAAATTTCTAAACTTAGAATTTCCTGAACAGCCCTGAAACAAAAGGCAGCCGGATATGGATTTCTATTTTGACTCTAACTCACACTTTCTAGGTCTAACCTCACTGGCTAAGATGCTGGGTTATCCAAGCTTAGCAGCCTAGTCCTCTTAACCCTTCCCCCGGGGCATGTTCTCTGCTGTAGGGACAATTGAAATTCTTCTAAGATGGCCACGGCTTTGCTGTAGAGTTGATTCCGCCTCATGGTGACCCCATGTGTTACAGAGTAGAACTGCCTTATTGGATTTTCTTGGCTGTAATCTTTATGGAAGCTGATTGCCAACTCTTTCTTCCGTGACACCACTGAGTGGGTCAACCTTTTTGGCAACTAATAACAGTTGAGGTCAAACTTGGCACCACCCAAAAAGTAGATAAGGGGCACGGTCATTTCTCCCTGGCTTGCTGTGCTGACTGCACCACTTACATGGCCTGCGCCATGTTTACTTTGTACAGGGTCAAAAACAAAATTCGTTATGGTGAAGTCGATTCCATCTCATGATGATTCAGGGCTGTGACTTTTCATAAGCAGATCACCAGGCTTTTCTTCGGAGGTGCCTCTAGGATTTGAGACACCAACCTTTCGGTTAGTAGTCGGGAGCTTAACCTTTTATGTCAGGGACTGTGTAAGGTTAAGCCTCTGAAAGTATATGCAGTTTGTGCAGCGTCATTGGCAACCCTTCCAACCTCGCAGCGTAGGGTCTGAGGTACCAGGAGAGGGGACAGCTGAGTGCCTTTTCACTTTCTGACGCCGTTCCTGGTTGCTGGCGCAAAAATAGCCTTTTCCCTTCTGTACGTCAAGTGTTCAAAGATGGCCGCCCCCAAGGAGCTGTGGCGTGAAGGGCGCGGACATATTACCTGCAAAGCCTGAAATCCGTTGTCCGTACCCCTTAGAAACGCCCTTCATCGTTGGCCGCCATAGGCCGCCTCGGATGCAGGGCTAAGGGCCAGAAGGGGAAGAATTCACAGAAGTAAGCGCAGCCTCTAGGAGGTTGCTGTAGGGTCAGGAGAAAAATCAGGTCAGCGAGTGGGTCTTTCCGTGGAACGGTTAAGGGGGTGTCTGTGTAGGATGGAGTTTGTCGGGGGACCTAGTGGGAGTCTCTGATGGGATGTCTCAAATTGGGGTGCCTTTGGGTTCAGTCTTCGGGGGTGGCCTGTTGGTCAGGCATTAAAGGTCTATCGAGATCAATGACTGAGAGTCCCGCAGTCAGGGTTTGGGGTCTTTTCGGGTCATACTTTCTGTAGGGATCTGTGATTGAGAACTGGGGTAAAGAGGTGTTGATTGTCAATGAAAGCGGTGTCTGGCTTAAATATGGGGTTCAGTGATGGAAGAGCCGAGGGCATAGTCAGGCACAGGGGTGTCAGATCCAAGTTTTGGTGTTAATACGACGGGGTGTGTAATCAGTGTTTGGGGAGACCCAGGGGCGTCTGGTTGAGAGGTTTGTAAGGGCTGATTTTTTGGAGGCTCAGTGTCCCTTGCTGTTGGGTGGGTTGAAGCTCAGACCTTGGCTGCTGAGACCGACCTGATGAACGCTACATTCCCCTTCAGTCCTTCAAATCTAAGTCCCTGTTCAAGGACTAGTTTGCATATCTCCTTAAGCATCCCACATTGCCCCCTCCTTCCGTCCACACAAAAATGAAGTTTAGGGAGTCGGGTTAATTAAGTCTAAAGTTACAAGCTTTCTGTTAAAGATGAGATTGCTTTTCTTCTTACTGCATTTAAATGTACTTGGATATTTCCTTCCAGGTTCTCTGTGACACCAGTAAGATGTCCTCTCTAGCCCCAAAATTGTACTTCTCAAAGATAACTCTTGTTAAAATTGTAGTATATTTCAGTGTTTATCTTTTATTATCTCTGCTTACTTTTCATAATTTAGATAAGCTGTAGAAGCGTTGGTATAATTTCTTTTTCAGTTAACTTCATACTCTAAACATATTCATGTTTATGCTACTTCCACTTCACAGAGGAAAGGCGCACCTCCCCCACATTCAGAATACTATGTTTACTGCCTCGGGGTGTAAAAGCCTCTGGAGCACCACATAAAGAGACAGAAATATTGGGTGCCTAAGATCCACTGCTAACTAAGAGGTTGGTGGTTCCAAACCACCAGCAGCTTCTCAGGAGAAAGATGTGGCAGTCTGCTTCCTTAGAGATTTACAGCCTTGGAGACCCTATGGGGCAGTTCTACTCTGTCCTATAGGGTTGCTATGAGTCAGAATCTACTCAACGGCAGTGGGTGAGGTCCCTAAGGAGTCCTGGTAGTGCAGTGGTTAAAGTACTCACCTTCTAACCCAAAGGTCGATTGTTCAACCCACGAGTCACTCCATGGGAGAAAGATGTGGCAGTCTGCTTCCATAAAGATTACAGCCTTGGAACTCCTATGGGGCAGTTCTACTCAGTTTTGTAGGGTTCCTGAGACAGAATTGACTTGATGGCAAAAAGGGTTTGGTTTTTTGGTAAAGGTCCCTAGGTAGGAGCCCAGGTGGCACAGTGGTCAAGCACTTGGCTGCTAACCGAAAAGTCGGTGGTTCAAACCCACCAGCTGCTCCCCGGGAGAAAGATGTGGAAGTCTATTTCTGTAAAGATGACAGCCTTGGAAACCCTGTGGCGCAGTTCTACTTTGTCCTTTGGGGTTGCTAAGAGTTGGAATTGACTCAGTGAGTTTTAGGTACCTAGGTGGCGTAAACGGTTTGCACTCGACTACTAACCTAAAGATTGGTGGTTTGAACCCACCCAGCAGCACCGCAGGAGAAGGCCCTGGCAATCTCCTTCCGTAAAGATTACAGCCAGGAAAACCCTATGGAGCAGTTCTACTCTGTAACACATAGGGTCACCATGAGTTGAAGTTGACTTGACAGCAATGAATTTGGTTTTGGTTCTTGACTTAAGGTAAGTGCACAGCAGCTATGACAGCATCTGGGCCCAGAGGGAATGTATCACTGAAAATAAATTTGCTAATGGTCAATAATTACTTTAAAACAAAGATGAGAAGGTAAGGGAGCAGGGAAACTAAATTAATAGAAATGAAACAACCAGAATGGAAACACTGAGAATGTTCATGCATTATAAAGAATGTAACCAATGTCACTGAACAACTTGCATAGAAATTGTTGAATGGGGATCTAAACTGCTGTGTAAACCTTCACCAAAAACACAATAAAATATTATTAAAAGAAAAAAAATTTTCTCTTCAGCTCACAGGTCCTGGCTCCCCAGAAGCAGTAGAGACCAAGCGAAGGAGAGAGGTGAAGGAGTTGGATATCGTCATTTCTTGGGATACCCTTGACCAGAAAGTAAGACTTCAGAATAGAAATTTAGGACAGATCTAGAAAAGACTAAGGACAGAGATCGCAGTCCCTGGCCATTTCCCAAGAGCAGAAGAAAATGATCAATGCCCAGGTGAGATCTGGTTTGTTTTATTCTTCACTTCATTTCCCGATGGGTTTGTGGAAGCCTGGCAAAATCAGTTCAATTAAATAAGTATAAATTGAGAAAAATGGACCTGGGGAAAAATAAACTTAGACCGTTCCTTCAAAGAAGTCCTTGGGTGGCACAAATAGTTAGGCCCTTAACTACTAACTGAAAGGTTGATGATTCAAACCCTCCCACAGGTGCCTTGGAAGACAGGCCTGGTGATCTGCTTCCAGAGTGTCACAGCCTTGAAATCTCTCTGGTGCTGTTCTGCTGTGACACACTGACACACATGGGGTCACCACAAGTCACCTTAATGCCTTTTTTTTTTTATTCCTTCAAAGTCAGGACAAAGTGGAATCAGGAATATATTGCTCACAGGGTTCATACTATGTGACTAATGTTGGAATATACTGTGTGACTGCAGGACCCTGTGGGTTACAATAACTGCCAACTTACATCTAATATCTCTGACAGCCGTCACAACCAGAATCATAAGTCACAGGTCATGCACTGACTTTGAGGCGAAAGCAGACCAGTTTCTCAGGGGATTCAATATTTAATGGCGCTTAAGTCTCAGGAGGGTTTTTGGTGGTGCAAATGGTTTGCGCTTGACTACTAACCTAAAGGTTGGCAGTTTGAACCCACCCAGCAGCACCATGGAAGAAAGGCTTGGCAATCTGCTTTCATAAAGATTACAGCCAATAAAACCCTATGGAGCCATTCGACTCTGTTATGCACGGGATTGCCACGAGTCAGAATCAACTCGATGGCAACAGATTTGGTTTTTGGGTTTTTAAGTCTTGGGAAACTTCTTTGAAGGGTCTTCGAGATGATGTGTTGGATGGTGTCCTTAACAGCATTCTTCTCATAAATGTATGAACAAGTTTCGTGTGACTATTTCTTACAGGATTACTTGAGCCCCTGTGGGAATAGACCAAGCGGAATTCAGCGGACACAGTTCTTCAGGGGACCACAGCCAAGTGACCCATGGTGCCAACAATAGTGTGGTCTAGGTTTATCTAGGAATAAAACCCAAGTGGCCTAGGGAGACAGAAGGATTGCACGGCTTTCAAAGGTCCTGCATGAATAGGTTGATGAGATGGTGTCTGAACGTAGATTTGGTAGTAGTTGTTGTTAGTTGCTGTCTAGTCTGTTCTGACTCATGACAACCCTACATGTGCAGAGTAGAACTGCCCCACGAGGTTTTCAATGGCTGTGATTTTTTCAGAAGCAGATCGCCAGGCCTGTATTCCGAGGCACCTCCGGGTAGGTTCGAACCACTAACCTCTCGGCTAGTAGTTGAGCACTTAACTGTTTGTACCACCCGAGGACTCTTAGATTTGGCAGTAGGGTGTGGAAAGTACTGTTATCTGATAAGCACTTGGGTTGTTGGTAACAAGACCTAGATATATTGTTAGTGTTAGGTGCCATCGAGTCAATTTCGACTTGTAGTGACCCCACGTGACAGAGTAGAATGGCCCCATAGGGTTTTCTTGGCTGTAATCTTTATGGAAGCAGATGGCCAGGTCTTTCTCCTACAGAGCCACTAGGTGAGTTTGAACTATCCGCCTTTCGGTTAGCAGCCGAGTACTTAACCATTGCATTACCAGGGATCCTTCCTAGATAATATAGATGCAGCCTATATGGTAAAAATGAGCAGAACAATTTGTTTTACTTTTTTTTTTCATAGCAGTAAACGCTCATTAAACAGGATCCTGTTATTACAGGAATCACTGACGTTCAGCGACGTGGCTGTGAAGTTCACCTGTGAGGAGTGGCAGCTCCTGGACCCTGCTCAGAAGGACCTGTACCAGGACGTGATGTTGGAGAACTTTAGCAACCTGGTGTCCGTTGGTGAGGACAGCTCTCCAGAGTTCCTCAGAGGGTGCCCAGTCAGTGACCTTTCCTTTCTCAACTGCTTAACACTTCAGACTCTTAAGTGTAGTTTCTCAGCCATCTCTCTTTCCCCAGATGACAGGGTACGGTCTCTCCTCACCTTAGAGAAAAGCCTTTACTTTGTAGACAAGCAAACTGTGCAGTCCCTAAAATGAATCATTCTCAAATCTTCACACACCCCCTAGTGCAGTGTTTTAAAAACTTCTTTATTTTATTGTGGTGAAAATATACGTAACGAAACATACACCATTTCAACAATTTCTGCCTGTACAATTCTGTGACATTGATTACATTCTTCAAGTTGTGCAACCATTCTTGCTATCCTTTTCTAAATCATTCCATCACCATTAACATAAACTCAGTGCCCTCTGTCTTACTTATGTAGCACTGCTGTAACAGAAATACCACACATGGGTGGCTTTAACAAACAAATTTATTTTCTCACAGGAGGCTAGACGTCTGAATTCAGAGCACTGGTTCTAGGAGAAGGCTTTCTCCCTCTGTCTGCTCTGGGGAAAGTCCTTGTCTCTTCTTGCTTCTATTCCTTGGCTGCTTGGTGATCTTCATGTGGCATGGCACCTATCTTCCTCCGTCTCTGCTTGCTTCTTCTGTGTCTAATCTGCTCTTTTTATATCTCAAAAAGTGATTGGCGTAAGGCACACCCTACCCTACACTAATACTGCCTCATTAACATAACAAAGAAAACCCATACCCAAATGGAATCATAACCACAGTTATAGGGGTTAGGATTTATAACACATATTCTGGGGGGACACAATTCGATCAATAATACCCCCTAAGCAAAAACTGCCCCTTTCCCCTTCCTTCCCTCTCTGGTAACCATTAATAACCTTTGGTTTCTCTATATTTGTTTATTTCATGTTAGTGAGATCATGTAATATTTGTCCTTTTGTGACTGACTTATTTTGCTCAGCATGATGGTTTCAGGGTGCATCCATGTTGTAGCTGCATTAGGACTTCGTTTCTCTTTACGGCTTAGTAGTATTCCATTGCATGGATAGAGCACATTTTGTTTGTCCATTCATCTGTTGATGGGCATGTCAGTTGTTTCCACCATTTGGCTGTTGTGAAAGGTGTTGCAGTGAATGTTGGTGTACCCCTAGTGCAATTTGATGTGTCTGTCTTCTATCATTTCCCATGAACAGGGTTTCAAGCTGGCAAACCAGATGCACTCTGCAAGGTGGAATGACAAGAACAAACATGGAAAACAGAACATGAAATCCACAGTCCAAGACATCAAGGTAAGAAAACCAGCAAGGGGAGAAGGCTGCAGAAGTCACATTCTGGTTGTTCAGAGAAGGCATCTTAGCTGTGAGGGTGTCTGAGGATACATAAATGGAGCCTCCACGTATTCCTCTCCCATACAAGAGCTCTTTTTCTTTGTAGGAGTTTAGGAGAAAAATACCCCTTTGTCTCCTCTTAGATCTGGTCCCTATTGATTTCATATTCCAAACTAGACCTGTTGTCATCGAGTCAATTATGACTCATGGCGACTGTATGTGTGATGGAGTAGAACTGCTTCATAGGGTTTTCTTGGCTGTAATCTTTACGGAAGCAGATCGCTGGGTGCTGCTGGGTGGGTTTGAACTGCCAACCTTTATGTTACTAGTTGAGTGCAAACACCCAGGGGTTCATATTAGATGTTAGCTTTTCCCCTTAAGTTTCTTGCTTGGATTCTCAAATCTTTCCATTCTTTTTCTCTTGTCAGAGTATCATTATATGTTCCTTTCAGCTCCCTTGCTGTGAAATTCCTCCTTCCAGGCCTCTCTTCTAAGAATTTGAATTCATCACTTTTTTCTAACTAGTGTAGCTTCCTGCTCCATTGAGAAATATTTAGTTCCCTTCCTAGTATCCAAGGAGCCCTGATAAAGCACTAGGCTGCTAACCAAAAGGTTGGCAGTTCGAACCCACCAGCTGCTCCGCAGGAGGAAGATATGGCAGTCGGCTTCTGTAAAGATTTACAGCCTTGGAAACCCTATGGGCAGTTCTACTCTGTCCTATAGGGTCGCTATGAGTCAGAATCAACTTGATGCCAACAGGTTTTCTAGAATCCAACCCCACCTTGGAAGCTATGCCCCCATAGTAAGCTGGTCTCTTACTGTGAATTTATCTCATTCCTTAGCTTCTCGTTTTCCCTCACTCTAAGTTTCTCCAAGGTTCTGTTTCCATTTTCTGCTCTGTCTCCTAGGCCTGAAAAGTTTCCTTGTCATTCTAGTGCCTTAAGCTCTTGTTGTCTGTGGAGACTCTAGTGAGTTCAAGAGATATCACAGCTGAGCAAGGAAAAGGATGTGACCACGAGATGGCAGTGTTGCACTACAAGCTTTCTATTGGTGCCAATACTGGTTTTGTACACTGTGAAGTCCTTTACAGCATGAGACCTTCCAAATGCAGGGGGGTGGGGATGGGGGATACAAGAAGGGAGAGAGGGATAGGGAACTCTTGGGGAGAGATGAAGTGGAAAGGGGACTTAAATGTCTAGGTGCTGTCATTCAGCAGTAAGGTAGGGAGACTAGCTCAGAGAGCTCTGAAGAGCAGCAGTTTGGGGTCCTTGTAACTATAGGGTTTATTTATCTAGGAGCCCTGCTGGTGCAGTGGTTAAGTACTTGTCTGCTAACCAAAAGGTTGGTGGTTCGAACCCACCAGCTGCTCCATGGGAGAAAGATGTAGCAGTCTGCCTCCATAAAGATCACAGCCTTGGAAACCCTATAGGGCAGTTCTGCCCTGTCCTATAGGGCCACTATGAGTCGGAACAGGTTTATCTTATCTGTGACTGGCAGATGTTGGGTGCAATTTTGCAAGGTATGCAAAGCAGACAGGCTGTAAATGGCTTAAAATCTGCTAATTTGCGCTGTTTTTTTAAAACATTTGGATGTGTAAAGATTTCTGTTTCGTGCCAGCTGGCTTTTAGGCTAATGGTTCCCAGATTGCCGTGAAGAAATAAACAAGCTGGAGGCCAATACACAGAGGCCATATTTGGCTCATTTATATAACAGACTCTCAAGTTGTCATCTCCTTTAACACTGTTTCGATGCAATAGATCGCTTTTATATGGCCTTTCTTGCCATGGTCTTGTAATCCCATCCAAGTGATTGGGTGGGGCTATATAAATAAGGTAATTGTGGCCCACCAAGGGGATTGGATAACTTGCTAATAATAAGGCAAGTAAAGTTCATGGCACCTGTGTGGAGGTGGGACCGTGCAAATAAGGTCTATGGAACCCTAACGAAGGTATTGGTCAGTTTTACCATCCTATTAGGCTTAAAATGAGCCATACCAGAGGCAGGTGGAGAGGATCTCACCACCACCAAGAAAGAAGAGCCACGAATGGAGCGTGTCTTTGAGACCCAGGATCCCTGTGCTGAGAAGGTTCTGGAACCAGGAGACAGATAGAAAGGGCTATAACACTGAAGACAGTGAGAAGTGGCAACAGAGAATCAGCGGCAGCAGAACCAGGAGACCAGCAGGAGACGGTGTGGCCCGTGGAGCAAGAAAACTGAGTGCCTTTGGACTGGAGGCTTGCTGGAGGAGTAGGGTGCCTCCGGGCACTTGGTTGAGCTAGGTTTGCCAACCCATCGAGCTAGCCTTATTGGCGAGGGCTGAGGCTTACTGGCAGAGTGGGGTGGCTCTGGGTACTTATTGGCAGAGCTAAAAGAGCTTTATAACACCTGCCTGATCAGGGCAGAGGCTGAGGGGCCAGAAAGAGGCGTGCCTACGGACACAGATGAGAAGAGGCTGTCCCGATGAAGGAACTGTATCCTGAGCTTTCCTGAACCTGAATTCCAACCTGTTACTTTCCTAATAAACCCTGTAACTATGAGTGTGGTCTGTGAGTTCTGTATGGCCATTGCAACAGATTATAAAACTCCACAGAGAAGTAGAGAGTGCCATGGGAGGGACGGTTGGTGTCAGAATCAGTAAAGATGGTGGAGAGAGGAGGTATGTCTGACCTCTGCCTCATAGGAATCAGGCTTGGGCTGTTGATCTTGATTCTCCTTCCCCGTTGTGAAGTTAGAGGAGGTCAAATGACACCCCTGCCATGCCGTTTTTACAACGGTCTAATCTACACCCCGGAGCCCTGGTGGTCCAGTGGTTAAGTGCTTTGGCTCCTAACTGAAAGATTGGGCAGTTCGAACCCACAATCCATTCCATGGGAGAAAGATGTGGCAGTCTGCTTCCATAAGGATTGCAGCCTTTGAAACCCTATGGGGCAGTTCTACTCTGCCCTGTAGGGTTGCTATGAGTTGGAATTGACTTGAAGGCAACGAGTTTGGATTTCGGGTTTAATCCACACTCTGGTACTGTATTTTTCACCCATCTCTGCAGTAACTCCCCTATGAGCTTAAACTTTTTGTGTGAGGAATAGAATCATTGCCCTTCCAAGAAAATTCTTTTCCACCATCCTTTTTTAAATTGAGTTTCTCTTGGACTTCTATCCATTTGCTGTGAAAACAACAGAATTCCACCTTTCTCACTGTAAAATGGTGGGAGTAGTAGTAGCCTCAAAACCTGTCTAACTTCAGGTGAGAAAATGACCAGAATCAGCCCAGAGCTGATTCCTATAAGGTGGAGGTTAGATATACCTCCACTCTCCAACTTTTTTACTGATTCTGACACCAGCTGTCCCTCCCACGGCGCACTCCATTTCTCTTCTTGGTTTGATAATTTATTGCAATGGCCACACAGAACTCACAGATACAGTTAAGTGGTTTATTAATGAACAGACTACAATTCAGGATCAGGATGAGGAAGCATGTAGGCAAAATCTGGAAGGCTCCCCTGAACAGGAGAGCACATCCCTTCCTTCTTTGGTGCAGGACAGCTCTCAGCAACTCCCGGCCTTGTAAGCAAACAGGCCCTTCTCTCAGCCATGCACACCCCCTTTCAGCCATGCAGACCTCCTCTTGGCCCCCTCAGGACAGGCCTCCCCATTGCCCCTTGAAGACAGGACTCCTCGTGGTCCCCTCAGTACAGGCTCCTTTCAGACCCCCCCAGGACAATCTCCTCTCGGCCCCCTCAGCACAGGCTCCTCTCGGCATCCTCAGAACAAGCCTCATTTTGGCCCCCTCAGGACAGGCCTCTCTGCCTTCTGCCTTCTGTCACCATGGACTCTGCTGCAGGGGCCCTTCTGGGCCTGTTGCTGACAGCTGTGCTGAAGAGCCCTTTACTTGCCTTCTGCTGTCTTCAGTGTTAAAGCCCTTGACTCATGTTACAACTCTTTTAGTAGGTTCCTTGCCTTCTCTCTGCTTCTCTCTTCTCCCTTTTTTCTTCTACTTCTGTCTGCTTCCTGTCTGAAAAACTTTTGTGGGGTTGGCTGCATATTTATACAAACTCCTCATGAATTTCAAGGCATGGCCCTCCCAGCAGGGCCACAAACTAAGCAGTCCCCTCTTGGTAGGTCACAGACACTTCATTTGCATATAATGCTATAGTCACCTTATTTGCATAGTCTGTTGACCAATCCCTGCAAGGTGCATACCAATCACAGGGCAGGCAGTAGCCCAGGACCAGACAAAAAGTGTCAAACCGAGTTGTTTTCAGCTTGCCCAGGAAATGTCAGTTGACCTGGACAAAAGTAACAAACCCACTGGGGTAGAAAACTAGGGCAAAGGTAACTCCTCAGGGATTAGGGAGAAAATCTCTCAAACTGTTTTTACAAAGAACCAAGGTTAAAGGCTACATGAACTCATTTCACCACACTCACAGCAAACTGTAAGGATTAGTCAAAGCAATCTGAAATTAGTTCATTATGAATTCTGTTCTCATCTGTTCCACTTCTGTTCTGACACCAGCTGCACATATAGCACTTCTTCCTCTGACCCTAACCCTGGAGCTAGGTCAGATTTCATAGGTTAAAGGACACAGCCCTCCAGACCGCCATGTCTGCCCAAGACGTCAGACGCCAGGCTCAGGCTTGGAAATCTCCACAACATCCTCACTTATGACCTGCTGGCTAAAAATTTGGGTGTTCCCTCTATTCCCTTAGAATACCAGACATAAGCTCAGGAGTCCCCAGGCCCCCCTCACTTCTGACTTGTTGGCTTCCATACTTCCTTGAGTTCAATAATTTGCTAGAATGACTTAAACAAGACTCACAGAAAGCACTATACTTATGATTACAGCTTTATTACAGAAAAGAGGATACAAATGAAGGAACGCATTGAGCAAGGTCCGAGAGAGTTCCCAACGCAGAGTTTCTTTATCTCAAAAAGGGAGACGCTCTCCCCGCCCCCCAACAGGCATCTATGTCTTTCCCCCTTAGGAAGCCCGTGGAGCTTGTCCAGAGCTTTTATTGGGGCCTCATTACATAGGCATGATTGAGGAGAGAGATGAGCAATGTAAGTAGACTTTCTGGGTAAAGAGTGGAGAGAATGGGAAGTTCAGTGGCCCAAGGCAAGAATATGTTTGAAGAACATCAAGGAAGCTTGGGTAGGGTGGAGTGAACAAGAGGCAAAATGACTAGAGATATGGTCAATGGAGTAGTGGCTGGGGTCTGGTAGGTCATGTAGGACTTTGTAATCCATTTTTGGAACTTGATTTTATTCCTAATGAGATGTGAAAACATGATAATGTTTAGAATAATGCAGTGACATGGTATAATTCATGTTTTACTAGTATCTATAAAACAGCGGTAGTAATAGTAGTGAGAACTTGTCTAACTTCAAAGGGGTTAATGAGAATCAAGATCAGCCCAAGACTGTTTCCTGTGTGGTGAAGGTGAGACACATCTTCACTGTCCAACCTTTTTACCAATTCTGACACCAGCCATTCTGTCCACGGCACTCTCTACTTCTCTTTTGGGTTTGATAATCCGTTGCAATGGCCACATAACTCACAGACCATACTTACAGTTAAGTGGTTTGTTAAGGAAGTAACAGGTACAACTAGGGATCAGATCAACAGGCTAAAACTGAGGATCAGTAAACATATAGGCAAAGTCTGGAAGACTCCCTGGAAGTGGAGAGCATATCCCTCCCTTAAGTGCAGGACAGCATTCTCAGCTCCTTTTGGCCTTGCAAGCAAGCAGGCCATTCTCTCTGCTGTCCACGCCCCCTCAGCTGTGCGGGCCTCCTCTCAGTCCCTTCAGGACAGGCCCCTTCTCAGCCCCTGCAGGACATTCCCCCTCTTATCTGCCCCAGGACAGGCCTCTCTGCCTTTGGCCTCCCTGCAGTCAGCCTCTCCACTGCTAACTGACCCAGCTGATAGCCAGTGTAGCGTTTTGTTTAGCTTTCTAAGTTGCATTCCTAGCACCAGGTTTCTGTCGTCACCACCGACTATGCCACAGGGTCCCTTCTGGGCCTCTTGCTGTCTTCATTGTTACAGCCCTTAATTCATGTTACAGCTCTTTTAGGAGGTTCCTCACCTCCTTTCTCTCTGCTTCTTTCTTCTCTCTGCTTTCTTCTCTCTTCTTGCCTCTCTTGCCTTTTCTCCTTTTTTCTTTCTGAAACCTCTGTGGGGCTGGCTGCATATATAAGCAAACTCCTAGTCAATTTCAAGGCATGACCCTCCCATCAGGGCCACAAATTGACCAGTCCCCTTTCAGTAAGCCACAGTCACTTCATTTGCATAATTATATTGACCAATCCCTGAAGGTGTGGAAAATAGACCATTCACAGGGCAAGCTGCAGTCCAGGGCCAGACAAAAAGTTTCAAACCATCAGGTTGTTTATAGCTTACCCAGGAAATGTCAGTAAACCTGGACAAAAGTATCAAGCCCTCTGGGATAGAAAACTAGGCAAAGGTAACTCCTCAGGGCTTAGGGGAAAAGTTTGTTAGCTGTTCTTCGAAAGAACCAAAGCAAAAGGCCACTGAAGGGAACTCATTTCACCACAGTATCATTTTGGGTATGAGTAAAAAATAGACTTGAACAGGGCAAGTGTTGAAGCAGGAAAGCCAAAAAGGATACTTAGTTGTTGGTGGTTTCAGCCAGGCTTGAGGGGTGAGTATTAGACCGATTCTGGATATAAAGGAGGGCTGATGGGATTTGCCATTGAGGTTGATATGGGTTGTGAAATAAATAGATGAAGGGTGATGTTATGAATTTGCAGTATGAGTCTCAAGAAGAGTGGAATTGCCATTTACTGTGATGGAGATGATACGTGGAGGAGAAGATTTGAGTTGGGAAGTCAGGAATTATGTTTTGGACATTGTAAGTTAGAGGTATGGTCCCTGGGTGGTGCAAACAGTTAAGCACTTGACTGCTAGCCGAAAGATTAATGGTTCGAATCCACTCAGAGACACCTGAAAGATAGGCCTGGTGATCTGCTTCTGAAAGGTCACAGCCTTGAAAACTCTGTGGAGCAGTTCTACTCTGCATACGTGGGGTTGCCACGAGTAGAAATCGACTCGACAGCAACTAGCAGCAACAGCAACAAAGTTAGAGGTGCTTGTTAGCATCCAATGGAGCTCTCTGCTCCAGTTGAAAGTACATGAGGAAATTAGGGAGAGCTTTGGTCTGGGTATAAAAATTTGGCCTGGATGAGACTATCTAGGGGTAAGTACTGATAAAGAGAAGAAGATCCTTGGGCAATTAAATTCGGAAAGATGAATGTGTAATAAATTTGGTTGGGAGAGAGTAGGTAATGAGAGAGAAATATTTAAGAGGAGGCTATTGTTGCTGTGTGCCCTTGAGTTGATTCTGACTCATAGCAACCCTATAGGACATAGTAGAGCTGCCCCATAGGGTCTCCCAGGCTATGATCTTTATGAAAGTAGACTGCCACATCTTTTTCCCGTGGAGCAGCTGGTAGGTGTGAACTGCCAACCTTTTGGTTAGCAGCTGAGTGCTTAACGACTGCGTCACCAGGGTTCCGTAAGAGGAGACTACTGTCCCTGGTGGTGCAGTGGTTAAGGTATAGCCAGATTTTCTAAAAGAAAAATTGAAGTTAAAGCTGCCATAAGTGTTGATTCAAAAGGAGGAGGTGGTCTTTTAGGGCCCCTTAACTGATGCCAAGGAGCCTTGTTGGCACAGTGGTTGAGTGCTCAGGTGCTAACAGAAAGGTTGGTAGTTCAAACGCCCAAGCTGCTCTGCAGGAGAAAAATGTGGCAGTCTGCTTCCATAAAGATATACAGCCTTGGAAATTCTTTTGGGCAGTTCTGTTCTGCCCTATAGCATCGCTATCAGCTGGAATCGATTTGATGGCAATGGGTTAAGTGATGCCAACTGAGACATAAAAGTAGAATTATAGAAGAACATGCTGTTAGTGGCAAGATGAGGGATCAGTATATCGGGTATGGAAATGGGAAAATTTTCTATATGACATCTGTGTAGTACAACATTAAGAAGGTAACAGTTCTCATATCTGGCACACCAGCACATCTGCTTCTGGAGAAGACTTCATGTTTCACTGGCATGTTGTAAAATTCCATAGGAATAATTGTTTCCATCTTTCTGTAGGAATATATGAGAACATGTCACAGCTAGTGTATTTGTTTCCTAGGGCTGCCCAAACAAAGTACCACAAATTAGGTGACTTACGTTCTTGTTGTTGTTGTTAGTTGTCTCAGGGTATTTTCTTGTTGTTGTTAGTTGCCATTGAGTCCAGTCTGACTCATGGCAACCCCACGTGGGCAGAGTAGAACTGCTTCATCAGGTTTTCAAGGCAGTGACTTTTCGGAAACAGATCACCAGGCCTGTCTTCTGAGGTGCCTCTGAGTGAGTTCGAACTGCCAACATGTTGGCCGGTAGTCGAGTGCTTAACTGTTTGCATCATAAGAACAAAAATTGGTTGTCTTATGGTTCTGGAGTCAATTCCAACTCACAGTGACCCTATAGGACAGAGTAGAACTGCCCCATAGATTTTCCTAGGCTGTAATCTTTCCTGGAGCAGATCGCTAGGTCTTTTCTCCCACGGAGCAGCTGGTAGGTTCGAACTGCCGACCTTTCAACTAGTATCTAAGCATGAACCATTTCACCACCAGGGCTCCTGTGGAAGAGATAAGGAACACTTACTATTGGAATTTCTTTTATATTTATATTATAGAGTTTCCCCTAAACAGCCATTGCACCCCAAGAATTTTGAAGCAGTTTTATTCCATACCATGCTCATGGAAGGAAACATTGTTTTCTTCTTTTCTAGAAATTGGGAAACTTGATCATATGGAGGGGCATTTCCAAAACCAAAGATATCTGAAGATAATGGATCAATGCTATGAACATAATGCATTTGGAAATATTGTTCATGGGAACAAAAGTTATCTTCTTTTAAGGCCAAGTCATAATATGTTTGATTTGTATGGAAAAACTTTGAAGTCATATTTAGGTTTGGTGAACCAGAACAGAAGTTGTGAAATAAAGGAGCTTGTTGAGTTTAATGGATATGGGAAATCCTTTTTCCATGATAATCATGAGCAAACTCATACTGAAATTAAATTCCATGAAAACAGAAAACCCATCAGCATTAAGTCACATCTCCTTAAACCTCAGAGAACTTACAAAATAGAAAAAACTCACGAATATATTGAATGTGGGAAAACCTTCATCAAGAAGTCTCGGCTTACTGAACGTAAGAAAATTCAGTCAGGAAAGAAACCTCATGGATGCAATATATGTGGAAAAACCTTTTTCAAGAAGTTCAAGCTCACTGAACATCAAAGCACTCACCAAGGAGAGAAACTCCATGAATGCAGTGGATGTGGGAAGGCCTTCCTCAGGAAATCTCAGCTTAGTGAACATCAGAAGATTCATACAGGAAATAAACCCCACGTGTGCAATATGTGTGGGAAAGCATTCTCCAGAAAGTTCAAGCTAACTGAACACCAGAGAACACATACAGGAGAGAAACCTTATGAATGTACTGAATGTGGCAAAGGCTTCTGCAGGAAGGCGGAGCTCATTATACATCAGAGAAACAAGAGAGGACAAAAGCCCCATGGATGCAGTGAATGTGGGAAAGGTTTCTCCAGAAATTCACAGCTCATTGTACATCAGACAACTCATACAGGAGAGAAATCCTACATGTGCAGTGAATGTGGAAAAGACTTCATCCAGAAGGGCAATCTCCTTGTGCATCAACGAACTCATACTGGACAGAAACCCTACGTATGCAGTGAATGTGGGAAAGCCTTCAGCCAGAAGGCATGCCTCATAGCTCATCAGAGATTTCACACAGGAAAAACTCCCTTTGTATGTAGTGAATGTGGGAAATCTTGTTCTCAGAAGTCAGGTCTTATCAGACATCAGAGAATTCACACAGGAGAGAAACCATACAAATGCAATGACTGTGGGAAAGACTTTGCTACAAAGACAATGCTCATTGTACATCAAAGAACTCACACAGGAAAGAGACCCTATGGTTGCAGTGAGTGTGGAAAAGCTTTCTCCTACATGTCCTGCCTTATTAAACATAAGAGAATGCACACAAGAGAGAAACGTGTAGGTTTAGTAAAGGTCAATAATCCTTCCACAGAGAGTCACAGCTCATTACATGCAGATGAACTCACAAAGGGGAAAAACCCTGTCAATACAGTGACCGTACAAATACCTGCTGTGGCAGCTCAGACTTCATTAACTATCAGTGGGCTCCTAGCAGATAGGAATGTAGTCATTCTGGGACAGCCTGTTGTTCAGTGTGTGCCCTCAGGAGAATTTGCTCAGGAGAGAACCCTTATGAATGCAGTGAATGTGGTAATGCCTTCAGTGATCAATTACATCTTATTTTATGTCACAAAAAACACATAGGAAAAAAACTAGTACATTCAATGAGGAAAAGAGTTAAACCTTCTACCTCATATATGGTTGCTAAGCATATACTGAGAGAAATAGTATGAATGCAGAGACTGGGAAAGCCTTTTGTGTAAAGACAGACCCTATCATATGGAGCCCTTGTGGTGCAATGGGTAAGTGCTTGGCTGCTAACCAAAAGGTTGATGGTTCAGACACACCCAGAGGTTCTGTGGGAGAAAGACCTGCTGATCTGCTCCTATAAAGATTGTTGTTGTTGTTAGGTGCCGTCAAGTTGGTTCCAACTCATAGCGACCCTATGTACAACAGAACGAAACACTATCTGGTCCTGCGCCATCCTCACAATCTTTGCTATGCTTGAACCCATTGTTGCAGCCACTGTATCAGTCTGTCTTGTTGAAGATCTTCCTCGTTTTCACTGACCTCTGCTTTACCAAGTGTGATGTCCTTCTCCAGGGACTGGTCCCTCCTGATAAATGTCTAAAGTACATGAGACGAAGTCTTAACATCCTTGCTTCTAATGAGCATTGTGGCTGTACTTCTTCCAAGACAGACTTGTTTATTTTTCCATTGTATAGTCAATGTTCTTCACCAACACCATAGTTCAAAGGCATCAATTCTTCAGTCTTCCTTATTCATTGTCCAGCTTTCCCATGTGTATGGGGTGATTGAAAATACCATGACTTGGGTCAGATGCACCTTAGTCCTCAAAGTGACATCCTTGTTTTCAACAACACTTTAAAGAGCTCTCTTGCAGCAGATTTGCCCAACCCAATATGATCATCTGATTTCTTGACTACTGCTTCCCTGGGCATTGATTATGTCTCCAAATAAAATGAAATCCTTGACAACTTCAATCTTTTCTCAATTTATCATATGTTTATTGGTCCAGTTGCAAGGATTTTTGTTTTCTTTATGTTAAGGTGCAGTCCATACTGAATGCTATAGTCTTTGATCTTCATCAGTAAGTGCTTCAGGTACACTTTACTTTCAGCAAGCAAGGTTGTGTCATCTGCATGTCACAGGTTGTTAATGCATCCTGATGCCCCATTCTTCTTCATACAGCCCAGTTTCTCAGATTATTTGCTCAGCATACAGATTGAATAAGTATGGTGAAAGGATAAACCATGACACACACTTTTCCTTATTTTAAACCATGCAGTATCCCCTTGTTCTGTTCAAACAACTGCCTCCTCATCTGTACAGGTTCAACATGAGCACAATTAAGTGTTCTGGAATTCCCATTCTTCACAGTGTTAGCCATAATTTGTTATGATCCACACAGTTGAATGCCTTTGCATAGTCAATAAAACACAAGTAAACATCTTTCTGGTACTCTTTGCTTTCAGCCAAGATCCATCTGACATCAGCAACGATATCTCTCATTCCACGTCCTCTTATGAATCTGGCTTGAACTTCTTGCAGTTCTCTGTCAATGTACTGCTGCAACTGCTTTTGAATGATCTTCAGCAAAATTTTACTTGCGTGTGATATCAATGACATTGTTCGATAATTTCCACATTCTGTTGGATCACCTTTCTTTGGAATGGGCACAAATATGGATCTCTTCCAGTCAGTTGGCCAGGAAGCTGTCTTCTAAATTTCTTGACATAGCCAGTTGAGCACCTACAGCACTGCATCTGTTTGTTGAAACATCTCAATTGACATTCTGTTAATTTCTGGAGTGTTGTTTTTTACCATTCCCTTCAGTGCAGCTTGGACTTCTACCTTCAATACTATCCATTCCTGATCATATGCTACCTCCTGACATGGTTGAACGTTGACCAATTTTTCTTGTATGGTGACTCTGTGTATTCCTTCCATCTTCTTTTGATACTTCCTGCATCATTCAGTATTTTCCCCATAGAATCTTCAATATTGCAACTCGAGGCTTGCATTTTTTTATTCAGTTCTTTCACCTTGAGAGATGCCAAGCGTATCTTCCCTTTTTGGTTTTCTAACTCCAGGTCTTTGTACATTTCATTGTAATACTTTCTTTGTCTTCTCAAGCCGCCCTTTGAAATCTTCTGTTCAGCTCTTTTACTTCATCATTTCTTCCTTTTACTTTAGCAACTCGACATTCAAGAGCAAGTTGTAGAGTTTCTTCTGACATCCATTTTGTTTTTTTCTTTCTTTTCTGTCTTTTTAATGACCTCTTGCTTTCTTCATGTATGATGTCCTTGATGTCATTCCACAACTCATCTGGTCTTCGGCCATTAGTGTTCAATGCGTCAAATCTATTCTTGAGATGGTCTCTGAATTCTGGTGGGATATACTCAAGGTCGTATTTTGGCTCTCGTGGACTTGCTTTAATTTTCTTCAGCTTCAACTTGAACTTGGATATGAGCAGTTGATGGTCTGTTCTGCAGTCGGCCCCTGGCTTGTTCTGACAGATGATATTGAGCCTCTCCATGGTCTCTTTCCACAGATGTAGTCGATTTGATTTCTGTGTATTCCATCTGACAAGGTCCATGTGTATAGTCGCCGTTTGTGTTGTTGAAAAAAGGTATTTGCAATGAAGAAGTCGTTGGTCTTGCAAAATTCTATCATGATCTCTGGCGTGGTTTCTATCACTAAAGCCATATTTTTCCAGCTACCGGTCCTTCTTCTTTGTGTCCAGCTTTCTCATTTGAATCATCAGTAATTATTAGTGCATCTTGATTGCATGTTTGATTAATTTCAGACTGCAAAGTTGGTAAAAATCTTTAATGTCTTCATCCTTGGCGTTAGTGGTTGGTGTGTAAGTTTGAATAATAGTCATATTCACTGGTCTTCCTTGTAGGCGTATGGATACTCTTCTATTACTGACAGCACTGTACTTCAGGATTGATCTTGAAATGTTCTTTCTGACGATGAATGTGATACCATTCCTCTTCAATTTGTCATTCCCAGCTTGGTAGACCATATGATTGTCTGATTCAAAATGGCCAATACTAGAGCAATCTCTTTATGCATTCCATTTCATTTTTGACAACTTCCAATTTTCCTAGATTCATACTTCATACATTCCATGTTCTGATTATTAATGGATGTTTGCAGCTGTTTCTTCTCATTGAGAGTCGTGCCACATCAGCAAATGAAGGTCCCGAAAGCTTGACTCCATCCATATCATTATGGTTGCTGTACTTTGAGGAGGCAGCTCTTCCCCAATTGTCTTTTGAGTGTCTTCCAACCTGAGGGGCTTATCTTCTGGCACTCTATCTGACAGTGTTCCGCTGTTACTCATAAGGTTTTCACTGGCCAGTTTTTTCGGAAGTAGACTGCTAGGTCCTTCTTCGTTGTCTTCATCTGTAAGCTCCACTGAAACCTGTCCACCATGGGTGACCCTGCATGTATTTGAAATACTGGTGGCATAGCTTCCAGCATCACAGCAACATGCAAGCCATCACAGTTAGAAGAAGAATAGTTTTGTGTTAAAACAAAATGTTTGGTTATGCCAAAATTAACTGACCTGTGAGTGAGTCATTTGTACTGTGTCACATGGGGTCACTATGAATTGAAATCGACTCAGTGATGCCTAACAACATCTCAGTGATGCTCATAGATCATCAGTGAGCTCAGTAGGTAGACATACAATTATAGTGAGAAAGCCTTTGCCCTCATTTGATGTCAGAGAGTTCACACAGGAGAGACTATGTTGGAAGTCTAGGCATGTGGTAGGGTTTTCAGTGGTTTATTCTGCCTCATCAATTTCAGATGAAATCATATAGAAATAAAATTCTGTGAACGCATTAACTGTGGAGGACTTTTAGCAAAATATCAAAGCATTCATGGAAGAAAGAAGCCCTTTCTCTCTCACACGTACAAACATGCAAGAAACACGTCAGATAATGTTGCGCTTTGCTTCAACAGTCCAACGTAATTTATAAAACCTAACAAAGTAAAGTCAATGCATTTACCCATATTTTTGCTCTTTCCATTTTTTGTTCTTCCTGATGTACCAAGATCCTTTTATTCCATTTCTGTTTCAAGAACTTCCTTTAGACATTGGTTTTTGGTAGGTTGGCCGTTGACAGATTCTCTTGGTATTCCCTTGTCTGAGAAATATCCTTATTTCACTTTGATTCCTGAAGGATAATTTCACTGGATATAGAATTAAGGGTGACAGTTCTTTTCTGTCAGCACTTGAAACTGTTATGACTCTTTTTTCTGATCTCCCTGGTTTCTGATGAGACATTGGCTGTCATTCCAATTGTTTTGTCCTATAGGTAAAGTAAAGGAGCCCTGCTAAGCGCTCAGTTGCTAACTGAAAGGTTGGCGGTTCTAACCCACCCAGCCACTCTGTAGGAGAAAGACCTGGCAATCTGCTTTTGTAAAGATTATAGCCTAGAACACCCTATGGGGCAGTTCTACTAGGTCACCATGGGGTCACTATGAGTTGAAATTGACTCGGTGGCACTTAACAACAACAACATAGGTAAAGTATTATTTCTTACTGCTTTCAAAATTTTTTCTTTAGTTTTCAGAAGAAAATTTGACATGAATTCCTTGGGTTTATCCTGTATGGGGTTTGCACAGTTAGGTGAACTCTACGTTTATGTCTTTTGCCAAATTCAGTATCTTTTCAGCCATCAAATCTTCAACTACTTTTTTATTTTCACCATCTTTCTCTTTGGCTTCTGGGACTCCAGCAACAAGAGATCTTTCTCCTGGAGTGCTGTTGTTGTTGGGTGCCATTGAGTTGATTCACAGTGACCCCATGTGACAGAGTAAAACTGCCCTGTAGAGTTTTCTTGGCTGTAATCTTTACTGAAGCAGATTGCCATGTCTTTCTCCCTCAGAGCCTCTGGTTGAGTTCGAACTGCCAACCTTTCAGTTAACAGCCAAGCACTTAATCATTGAGCCACCAGGGCTCCTTAGCAGCTCAAGCTAGTGGGATCCATGAATTCTAAGAACAGGCCTGGTCACTAGGCATCTCTCCTGCAGTGGGTTCTTGAATAAACACCAAGGACCCACAGTTGTGCTTTCTTAGCTAAATGGATTGTTCATTGTCTTAGAGACAAGAATTGGGAGCTCCCCACCCCCTTCAGCAGGAATGCCTGCAATTATATTCCATCTTCAGACCTACAGTTTGTTTAAA